CCGTGCTGTGCCCGCCCGCCCCCGCCGCGCTCCGCGGGCCCCTCCGGCGCGGTGCCGGGCGGGTCTGGGCGCGGGAGTCGGGGCCGGTGCAGAGCCGCAGCTGCACGGGGACCTGCAGGCAGCGGCCTGGGGGACGGGGGACGCAGGGGCTGTTCTTAGGACACGCACTCCTTGGGGCAGTGATGTCCCCAGCCAGGGCCACCGCCTTCCTCCGCGGGGACAGCCGGTGTCTTTGTGCCACTTTGGCGTGGTCTCCCACCTCTGCCGTGCCTCTGCTGTCTGTGGCTGCGGGACGGGGAGAGCTGGCGGACGAGCTGCCCTTGGCTGCAAGTTCTCCTTCCTCCAGCGCCCTAAAACTGTGGGCTGGTGGCTGGTGAAGGCCAGCCTTACCTGGGAGCTCCCTCTTCCCCGTGTGGTCCCTGGCTGGCTGGTCCGTCCACAGCCTGGAGGTGAGCAGGCATTAGGCTGCAGTGGGTAACCTCTCATTGCTGGCACTTCCCAATATGCCTAATTATTTACTGGGATTGCAAACCTCGTTATCCACCCAAGCCCTTTTCGCGTTGCCGGAGCCCTCAGCTGCCCCCTCCCCTCCACCCAGCTCAGCTCATTCTGCTCTTTCCTTCCCATTCCTGTTGTCACAGATCAGAGAGTGACTTCCCTGGCCCGAGAGAAACTGGGACTAGAAACTCGCAGTTGGTTATAATCCAATTATACTTCTGAAAACTGCAGCGACAGAAAGCTGGTGCTGGTAGGGTGCTGTCCTTTTGTCTGAGAGCCCAAATGGAATATTGCATTACAGCTTATTCATAAAGCGATTGCACTGAAAAGGCTGATATTTATAGACTCGCGTGGAAGGCTGTGCATTTGTTTAGCAGGCCCCTCATAGTGGATAGTGCGCTGGGGTCTCCACTGTTGCTGTTTCATGGGCTTTTCTCTGTTACTGGATTGTTTTCATTCAAAGAGAGGCGGCCGAGTTCTCTGTATCCTGCGCTTACGGGAAAGGGAGAAGGTGACAAGTGCCATGTTCCTGGGTGTTCAGCTGGGTGTGCAGGTCTCGGCTGTGACATGGTGCTGGGCAGGAGACCCCTGGGTCGGGCTGTAACTGGCTCCAGGATGAGGGCAAGAGGCAGGTGGTGCAGGCAGCGGTGCAGGCAGCAGTGTAGGCAGTGGTGCCAGCCCTGGGAGGGTGGTGGGTGTCTGCAGGGGAGGGGTCGCAGCTGAATTTAGGTGTTGAAGTGGCACACTTGGGCCGGGTTTCACAGAGCTTTGCACCCAGCGTGCTGAATTTCTCTGTCAACCTGCTTGCTTGTTTTGATGCTCTCCTCCCCAAGACCCGACTGACAGCCCACGCACTGTCCCCTGGGCTTCCCTGGCTTTGTGTCAGGCTCTCCTTGCCTGCCTGCATCCAGCAGTGGCTCCCAGCGGAGCGGGGGGAGGCCGGGGCAGCGCTCGCTCCTCCAACTGCAGCTCAGCCGGGCAGAGACTCGCATTTGATCTTTCATTCAAATTAGCAGTGCGCTCAGGATGTCTGGGTGCTTCGTCCACATGAGCTGCGGTGAGTAAATAAACAAGGCTTTGCTTTCAAAGGCTTTCACGATTCATTAACTTCAAAGGAACGAGCTCTCTATTTTCTTAGCAGGTCAGTCACTCTGGAGACTCGCCCTGGGTGCTGAAGGTGGTGGCTGCTCACGCCAGGCAGCCGGGGCAGCCGCTGCAAGGCCCGGTGTCACGCCTCGCGCAGCACGGAGCTGCGGCGAGGGGCAGAGGGACAGTCCACGGTTCCTGTTACCCCTGGGAGGAATGCAGGGTAAGGAAATGCACAGGCGAGGATGGTCTGTGGCGTTCCCTGCCCCAAAGAGCTGCCCCGTAGGTGGCATCCAGCCCGCAGTGTGCTCAGGGCACTGTCGGGCAGGGTTTGCAAGCCAGGGACGTGTACCAGATCCGCGCCTGTGCTGCAGAAGTCTCCCCATCTTTTCACGGAGGTGAAGGCGGCGTGGTCTTGCCTGCCCGTGCCGTCTTCCCGTGGGTGAGGGTGCTCTGCCCCGTGAGCAGGGCTTGCTCTGGTGGCGCGAGCGGGGAGGTCACGCTCCCTCCCCAGCTGTCTTCCCCGCCGCAGCGCTGGATTCCTGCTTTGATTGTGCAGGCACAGGTGCTGGGGCTGCGCCAGGGGCGCGCGGAGCTAGCGGAGATTGCAGAGAGATTGCTGCACCTCCAAATGCCTGCCTCGGCACAGCTAGGAAGCTAACCTTTCATGTGGCAGCCCCAGGAATAACTCGGAGCCTTGCATAATCGCAGCCGCCTGGAGCTCCAAGGTGAAAAAAATCACTGTCCTGGGGTAACCCTCGGTGCCAGGCCTGCTGACCTCATGGGAAACCTATTTTCTGAGGCAACAAAGCCCCATTCTAAACATATTTTTTGGGAACTTATTTGGGGATGGACACTGCAGCCCAAGAAAGCTCCTGAACTTGTGCAAAAGGGTCCACAAAGGGGCCGCAGGCTGGCAGGGGCCGTGCGCCGGGCACAGCCTCCACCGTGCTCGTCTCCTCGCCGGCCACAGCACAGCAGGGCCTGGGCGCCGTGGGGACACGGTGCTGGACATTGTCACTGTCCAGCACAGCGGCACCAGCGGAGCCCCAGGCAAGAGCTGTGCTCATGGCAGTGTGTCCTGCTCCGTGCTGGGGGCTCCGCTGCCGGCACAGCTGGCCCTGGGCGCCCGCGTCCCCTGGCTTGCACCAAGGAGGATGCTCGGGGAGAAGCAGCCCCAGGCTGGCTGGAGGCAGGTAAGGGGTTCCTTGCTGGGGGGCAGCACTGGGACACAACGGCCACGAGAGCTGAGTGCTCTCTGCAAGCCGAGTCTGTCTGGGTCAGTAAAGGAGATGGTGTGGTTAGTGCTGAGCCGCAGCCTTGGGTGCGCCGAGCCCTGACGACTTCAGTACCTGGTTATGAAAGGAAGGCCTTTTATCCCCCAAAAGAACAACTCCCAACAGCCGAGCAGTCCCCAGTTAGCCCCCGGCTATCTCCCCGAGGTCTGAGAGGCTAAGAATACATTTTGGATAGCTACAAATAAACAGAACAATGAATTGACCCTTCATAACGGCCTCCACCACCATAGAAACAGGAGCCAAACAAACAGGCACGAGCCTGTTTAGGAGAGCGATAGCACATGCTTTGTTAGTCTGTCCCCTGGTTCCACTGTTAATTGCTTTGTTCCTTCTCAGATTAATTGATGAATTGCTGTGTGGACACGCAGCGCCTGGCTTTGCAGCCACGTGGTGTTGGTAACCCTTTGGTCTCCATTGCAATCTGGGCGCACACAACGTGGGGACAGTCTCCCCTCCCGTGCGTGCCCACCGGTGCCCAGCCAGAGGTGGGCAACTCCTGCCTGGTAAATGTGGGACGGCGTTTGGGCAGCGGGTCCAACTGCAAGCACAGGTAAAGATTCAATAGTGAAATTAAAGCCCTGCTTCATGTCAGACCCGGGTTTCCACCCAGGAGGTTTTGTGCCTTCCTGGAGGCATTTGCTGGGTGCGGTGCCCTGGGAAGAGCTCATTTCCCATTGCAGCACCCATCCTGCCCCATGGCATCGGCTCGGGCCTGGCTCCATCCCCCCCTTCCCCGCCTGCCAGCCCGACGGGCTCCTCTCGGCCAGCGAAAGGCGGCTCGGTGTGCATGAGCGACCAGGTTCAGATTGATTGCCGCAAATCCAGCTGCGTTAGTCATAAAAGTCACCAAAGGCCAGAAATGGCGCAATAACACCTAAAAATACCCGTGCCGCGCCAAGCAGCCCCGGTTTCTGTCATCCTCCAGAGGCATCTGTCTATTGTGTGTGCAGCGGGGAGCGCGGGAGAGCATGCCGGGGAGAAACCGGCCATAAATCCTGCCGGCCTCCTCTCTCGGCTTCTCCCTCCCACCGACCGCGGCCGTCCCGGTGCTGTCTGGCAGGCGCAAGCCCCGGCTGTCATCGGCAGATCAGACAGGGCTGAAATTTGACAGGCCTGTGGAAAAACACGGGGTGACATCACGCAGAGACACCAGCCCACTGATTAATCTCTGAGGTCAGTGGCTGCTTTATTTATAACCAGGCAAGGGTTTGAGGTGGGTTTTCACGGGAGCGGAGCGGCGTGGGGTGTCTGTCCCACATCTCCAGAGCGGCCGCCTTCCCGCACCGGCGGGGATGCCTCCACCTCCTCCGGACACCGCTGGAGAGGCTGAAACGGGGCTTGGGAGCGCCAAAACCAAGCCTAAACCAGCGCGGGAGCACCGGAGCCCGGCTGGAAGGACCAGTACCACTGCGGCCGTGTCTGGGTTTCCAGCTGTTTCCTTT